ACTGTAGTGCTCTGGATGTCATTCCCTCCCATTTCCCGCACATTTCCTGGTACAGAATGAATAAATAAATGGCATTCACGGCTTTCCATGACTAAGTCCCATTTTACCAATCCAGCCTTGCTGCTACTCATTAATTCATTCAACATATCTTGATTTTACACTTAAATCCTTTAGGTACTGTGGTAAGTACAGAGCACCTCGAGAAGAACAAGACTCATTTTCTGTCCTTAGAGGGTTTAGAAAGACAAGGATACCACAACTAAAACACAATATGATAATTGTTCTAAGAGGTACGTGCAGGGTATCAAGGAAACTCAGAGCAAGAATACTTATTTTGGAGGAGGGAAAGAGACCAAGGGAAGTTGATAAACTGTCCTTGAAGTTGCTATGAATAAACCATGGGACAGTATCTTCCTTGTTCCTGGAGCCTAGTCTTCTTTCTGGCTCAGTCCCCCAGATCTGATCTTATACAATATTAGGTCAACGCTTAAGACAAGTTTGAACGTTCTAAATTCATGTAGATAAACTAAATTTTCAGATTTAATAGAACTCAGACATAATCCTCAAACCAGTCAAAGTATAGGAGATTTTTCTTGGCTGGATTAATATAGTCACAATTTAGGGAGAGATTGGAGGGATGGAGTTTAATTAGGACATTTTTGCAATGATCCAATAAAAGTAATAAAAATTCTTATTGATGGTAAGCATAGAAAAGAGTAGATGAATGTTTAGATAAGCTGGCAGCATACAGTTTCCAAAGGTATGGTATAGTCAATCTTAAGATACAGTATTTGGGCTGGGTGCGGTGGCTCATGCCTGTAATCCTAGCACTTTGGGAGGCTGAGGTGGGCGGATCACGAAGTCAGGAAATTGAGACCATCCTGGCCAACGTGGAGAAACCCCGTCTCTACTAAAAATACAAAAATTAGCCATGCATGGCGGTGTGTGCCTGTAATCCCAGCTACTTGGGAGGCTGAGGCAGGAGAATCGCTTGAACCTGGGAGGTGGAGGTTGCAGTGAGTTGAGATCATGCCACTGCACTCCAGCCTGGGCAGCAGGGCGAGACTCTGTCTCATTAAAAAAAAAAAAAAAAAAAAAAAAAAGCCAAAAGTATAACAGTGTGGTAAAGATAATACTGACTTTCTGTTATTTTCTTAAACACAAAAAGCATATTCCAATCTCAGGGCATTGGCACAGGCTTTTCCCTCTCCCCTCTCCCCTTCTAATTCTTCTGCCTGGTTTCTACTTACCCTTCAGGTCTCAGCTGGAATGTCACTTCCTCAGAGGCCTTCTCTCCTTTCCTGTTGTGAAATAAGAAATATATATATGGTCTCTGCCTCTAGTCCCTGGCCTAGAGCTCCCAACACCCTTGTAATTTCCTAAGTTACAGGGGTGCTAGGAGAATCTTTGGTTCTAATGTTTGGTCTTTGCTCTCGTTCCTGACATGGAGCTCCTAAATCCCGTGGGCTTTCCTGAGTGATAGCAGCAGTCTTTTGTTCTACCAAGGCAATTATTGCCTGGCTCCTAGATGAGGGTTGGTCACTGGAAAGACCAACCATGATTATAAACTTGGAGCTTTCAGCCCCTACCTCCATTCTCCAGCGAGGGGACAGAGGCTGGAAATTTAGTTAATGATCGATCATGCCTACATGATGAAGGCCCCATAAAAATCCCTTAACTATGGGGTTCAGAGAGTTTCCAGGTTGGCAAATACACATCCATGTGCCTGAAATGTGGTACACACCAACTCCATGGGGACAGAAGCTCCTGTACTCAGGACCCTTCCAGATCTCACCCTTTGTATCCCCTGGCTGTTCATCTGTATCCTTTATTACATCCTTTATTAATAAGCCAGTAAATGTAAGTAATGTGTTTTCCTGAATTCCATGAGCCATCCTAGTAAATTAATAGAACCTAAGAAGGGAGTCATGGGAAGCCCAATTTACAGCCTGTCCCTGGTTAGAAGCACAGGTCACAACCTGGAACTTGTGATTGGCATCTGAAGTGGGGGGTAGTCTTGAGGGACTGGGCCCTGAACCTGTGGAGTCTGATGCTATCTCCAGGTAGATAGTCTCGGCACTGAATTGATTCAGAGGACAGTAGGTGGTGTCTGTGGGAAAATCTGCTTGATATGTGGGGAACCTCCCAACCAACACCTGGTGTCAGAAGTGCTGTGTTGAGTGGCTGAGTGGTATATGAAAGTAGGAAAAACAATTATCCTTAATACCTGTTTAAAGTAGCCCTTTTCTGTTTATTTCTTTCAAGGCAATTTTCATCACCTTTAATTATCAGATTTATTCACTTGTTTACTTCTTTAATGTTTGACTTCCCAGTAAACTATAAGCTTCATGAAGGCAAGGATTACAGTGTTTTTATTGTTGTTGTTTGCCACCAAATACTCAGCCTCTGGTATAGTAACTAGCAAGAAGTAGATGTTCAATAAATATTTGTTTTAATAAATATATATTATGTTTGTAAGCTGAAAAGTGTGAATCAACATCATAGGGAAAAATTACCTTAAAATTAACTTCTAAAAAAATGATCAATCAAGCAATTTCGTGAAAATGTGCAAGAACAGACTTTCAGAATGATGTTCTATGAACCATAGTCTGCACGTCATTTGAAATCCAGCAAATATTTTCATCCTCCTTCTTCGGATTCTATAACTTATTCTATATCTAGAATTACTCTAAAGACTAATTCTAACCTGGATACAACATAAAGAGTAAAGAGGGAAGATTCTAAAGAACAATTTTAACAATGTCGTATTTAGGGAGATTTTCATTACATACTTTAAGAACATAGGTTTGGCATATTAGGTATCTGTGGAAATAAATCACTTACTACATCTACATGAGCCTATTGAGATGAAAGTATTTGAAAATCATGCTTTTTCAAGGGTGGCTAAACAAATCTCTATTTATCTATTACAACTCATAATCATTGCTAATGTTCAAATATGTTAGGGTTGAACATACCACAAAAATGGAAATGCAGGAAAGATTAACATTATTTAAGCTGCAGATGATTCATGCTACTGGTTTAACCATTTTCTTTAGATTTTTTTCATGTACAGGAATATATTTTTTTATATATATAAATAATATGCTGAAGGGACAAAAATCGTGTATGATCATTATCCTCAAGAAGAAACAGGTTCCAATTATTTCTTTTGAATTATAGACTTAAAGCTAATTAAGAATTTTTATAGTTAATTAAAAATTACATTGTAACCTTGAAAGCAGCAAAGGACATAAAGAGAAACTATTTGTTACATGCATCTTTGGGAAAATCTCACAAAAGATTTTGTTTGGCAAAGCTATTTGAAACAATTTAAAGCTAGAAATGTTTCTAGGCTACAGCAAGATGAATTCCATCGGTTTGGATTTTGACCTACCACTAAATTTTGGATTTAGGAAGGGTCTCATTTTTATACTTAACACAGAATTAAATTTTAACTTAGAAACTTTTACATGGCTTGAGGCATGTGAAAATTATATGAGAATAAGTCAGTTACTGCTGTGATCTCAATGTTTGTGTCCTCCACAAAATTCATTTGTTGAAATTTTAACCCTTGAGATGATGGTAGTAGGAGTCAGGGCCTTTTGGGAGGTGATTAGGTCATGAGAGTGGAGCCCTCATGAATGGGATTAGTGTGCTTATAAAACAAACATGAGAGAGCTAGCTAGTCCCTTCCACCATGTGCGGGTAGTGAGCTATCTCTAAACCAGACGGTGGGCCCTTACCAGACATGGAATCTGCCAGTGCCTTGTCTTTGACTTCCCAGCCTCCAGAACTGTAAGAAATAAATTGCTGTTATTTATAAGCTACCTGGTTTGTGGTATTTTGTTACAGCAACCTGAACAGACTAAGCCAGTTAATATATAGAGACAACAGATGGCTTCACACATCTAGATGAGGATCCTGGGAAAATCGAGTTGGAAACTACAGTTGAGAATACCAATGTCCTAACAATCCTGTAGCCTTCAGGCTTAGTTGGTTCTGGACTCCCTCTAGTGGTTCAATTCTGGTGATTTAATAGATTTAATTCTTCAATTCATAGAATTACCAAATTTCTGGTCAGATTAAAAACCACTAAGCAAAAGACCCACACAAGTCCCATTAGAATGGTTTACCACAAGGAGGCCAGGTGCAGTGGCTCATGCCTGTACTCCCAGCACTTTGGGAGGTCGCGGCAGGTGGATCACTTTAGGCCTGGAGTTTGAGACCAGCCTGGCCAACAGGGTGAAACCCCATCTCTACTAAAAATCCAAAAAATTAAGCCAGGTGTCCGGTGGTAGGCACCTGTACATTTTCCCGGAGCCTCGGGAGCGCTGAGTGCAGGCAGGAAGAGAATTTGCTTGAATCTGGGAGGGCGATGGTGTAGGACTGAGGATCCCCGCCCATGCACTCCAACTGGGCTGAGCGAGCAGACTGTCTAAAAGTAAATAAAATTTTTTTTTTTTTTACATTTTTTCTTTTTTATTTTTTTGTCAAATGATCCCTTTATTGGATACTTTCCTTTGTGCTTTAACTGCTGGCATTCCAACAGCCGCCACTGTTGATGTCCATCTCATGATGTCATGAGGGTGGCGGCCCATCAACATTGCACAGGCCCACCAGAACTGGCAGTCCGCCCAGGATCTCTTTAATGGTTCCAGAGATTCTCTGCGGCTAAGGATCCCGGTGGCGCAGCCATGCTGTCGAGCAACCTGTTGATGATCTCCATCAAAAGTGATTGTTCCCCTGGATGGTTTGAATGTTTTTCTGTTTCTTTTCTGCGTCTCTTGGTGGTTCTAGAGGCTTGATGCATCACGGCGGGCAGAGGGCAGAAGGCACCAACCTCACAATCTGGGCCTGTTCTGTTCTGAATGGTCAGTTTCACTGTAATCCTCAGGCCCTTCCAGTCCACCCGTTGCCTTGGCAATGTCATCACCACCTTTTTCGGAGACAGACCCAGGGGCCATCTTGGGGGCCCAGCGCAGAAGTCGTCACCCCCGACTTCACCTCCGGTGCACCTCAGGTATACGACTTTGATCTCGTTGGGGTCGAACTTCGGCGGCATGGTGGAGGCGGCTGGTGTCGGATGAACCCGGATTCGGGACGACCGAAGAAAGTTGCACCTTCGCCCCCTCCGAGCCGAAAGCCGAGAGCAAAAATAAATAAAATTTTAAAAATAAAAAGAATGGTTTATCACAAGGAGATTATGTCACTGAATGGCAGTGATAAATGTGGATGAAATCATAGTGTTGCAAATGGTTATACCTAAAGGGACAGAATGGATTTTACTGGTTGATTGGGAAAGACATTTACAGTTTTGCTTAGAATGAGTGGGTAAGAGCTGAAGGCCCAGTAACAGAATTCCTTGTTGCTTTTGTTTGCGACCTAGGGTAAAGACTGCATCTTTTAGGGAAAGAGTGAAGTGAAAGAATATTTCCTGTGCATATGGATTCTATAAGGTCAGAGGGTTCTTGTTTGACCTTGTATAAAATCAGCCTCTTAGACCAACCCAAAGCAACATGTAGTTTCCTCCTTATCATATTCCTAATAGCATAGTTTGTGACTCTGTTTTAAACCAATTCAGAAAACTTTAAGGCCGATTTAACTTTACTGGCTCCCTATGTTGGCTTTGGTTATTCCACTCCATTAAACCTTTACTTCTTGGCCATTTCTGCACTGTAAATATAAGTAAATCTACTAACTCCTTTACATGAGATCTCTTTACATATTTAAGACAGTTATCATGTCCTCAGTAAGTCTTCTTTCCCTCTCCCAGATCCTCAAAACTTCTTGGAACTATTCAGGAACTCCATGAGGTACAGGCTTCTGTACAAGATATATGTAAAATAACTTGATAGGCATGTTATTCACACGTTTAGGAGTAAGTAAAAAACGATGGCTTTTTTTTTTTTTTCAGAAAATGCAAAGCTATTATTTAAAAGTCCCAAAACCAAAAAGAACTGAAGCCAATGGGATTAAGAGATAAAAAGAAAACAGGAAGTAATGGGTGACTTACCCATTTCAAGACCTTCTCCTGCTATTTTCTGATCCCTAAGTTGTTCCAGAATCGATTTAAGCAGAAAAGTACAGCAGAGACCAGATAAGTTACTGTGGAGTCAAGAAGTCTATCATGTCTGCCATGAAGTTTGGATAGAATGAGTCAGGAATTGGCATTGGTCTTAAGATCCCAGATCTGAAAGTACTTCCCATTGATAAGATATTACTACACAGTCTGTAATTGATTATTTGCATAGATAGAAAAAACAAACAAACTTCCCCAGCAACTTAAGAACTCTAAAATATCAGTTTTGTCAACTCACAAATTTGGGTTGCGGTGAAAGTGGGAAAAATAGAGATAGGAAGATGTAAGTTAAATAAAAACAAGGTGTATCTTTTTGTCTTTGAATATCCATAGTTCTTTTTTATAAGGCAATTAAGAAGGATAGAAAATGTATTCCAGCTGATAAAAAGGAATTCCCTGTGCGAAAGGGAGAGGAAAGGCAGAAAGCAGGTGGAAAAAAAAAAAAATAGCAGGCAGTTGTCTTTATAATGTAGATAGGTATCGCCTCTAATACAGGACTCGACACTGTTGTGCCCCAATTAGAGAGCAAGCATTGATCGCATGAACTTAAGTAGTGATAACTTGTTGCCAAATAATATTCAAAAGAATATCAGAAATCAGAATAAATATACTATTAGTGTTTCAAATCCATCAAGTAACCTAGTTTTTCCTCCTTCCTCTCTACAAGGGATTTTAAGTGCCACAGTGTGCTTCCCTCCCACTATGCTGGTGCTTTTCCATAGGAAGGGTTGTGCCTGGACCTCCCAGATTGGAACGCCGATTATCGAAGGCCCCAAGGCTGTATTCTCAGCTACGCCAAGTCACCTCAGATATTTGCACCAGAGCACCCAAAATTCTGTGCCCATGAGGATAGTTGGAGTTTGTTCACAAAATAGCAAAGTCTCTAGGTTGCTATTCCAACAGCGGCAGTACTGATGCTCCAGTTCGAAGGCCAGGAAAACAGAACGTAACGCCGGTGACTTCCAAAATATAAGTAACCACCAAAGTACATGCTTAATGACCTAGTGAAGTTAGCTTACGCCGCCTCCCAGACACCTGTAATGAAGACCATCTCGGCAAAGCTCTGGGGTGGGCAACTCGATTTCACGAAAGCGGACACCAACGCTCTACCCAGGAATAAATGCGTCGTCTAATGTTCCCATTGGCCCTTTCGGCCTTCACTCAGCGGCTGACAACGCAGTCTTCCCTAGCGCATGCGCGCCATCTGCTTCCGGCCTGCGAGCTCGGTGTTCCACTCTTTGTGGGCCGGGTGGATTTCCTGCTCTGCTTTTCTTATGCCTGGTTGATCTGTGTGCAATGGCTCCGGACTCGGATCCCTTCCCGGAAGGGCCTCTCTTAAAGCTGCTACCCTTAGACGCTAGAGACCGGGGCACCCAGCGCTGCCGCCTGGGCCCGGCCGCCCTCCACGCCCTGGGCGCGCGCTTGGGCTCAGCAGTGAAGATCTCGCTACCCGACGGCGGCTCCTGCCTCTGCACTGTCTGGCCTCGGCGGGACGGAGCGAACGGCTTTGTGCAGCTGGACCCGCTGTGCGCGAGCCCCGGGGCGGCGGTCGGGGCGCCGAGATCCCGGAGGAGTCTCAGCCTGAGCCACCTCCTCCTAGTGCCCTGTCCGCCCCTGCGGCGCGTTTCCGTGTGGCCGGTGTTGCGAGAGCTGGCGGGCGCGCCTGGTGCCCCGAATACAGCCGCGGTGCTGGAGGCGGCGCAGGAGCTGCTGAGAAACCGACCGGTCTCCCTGGGCCACGTGGTGGTCGCTCTGCCGGGCGCTCCTGGCCCGGTGGCTGCCTTGCACATCGTCGGCGGAACGCCCAGTCCCGATCCCGCTGGGCTGGTCACCCCTCACACTCGCGTCGGCCTTGGCGGGGAACCTCCGTCCGAAGCCCAGCCGCAGCCCGAGGTGCCCCTGGGAGGTCTTTCGGAGGCGGCCGACTCGCTGCGGGAGCTCCTCCACTTCCCGCTCCGCTACCCGCGCGCCCTGGCCTCGCTGGGCTTAGAGGTGCCCCGCGGGGTGCTCCTGGCGGGGCCCCCCGGAGTGGGCAAGACCCAGCTGGTGCGGGCCGTGGCGCGCGAGGCGGGCGCGGAGCTGCTGGCAGTCAGCGCCCCCGCGCTGCAGGGTTCCCGGCCTGGGGAGACCGAGGAGAATGTGCGGCGGGTCTTCCAACGCGCCCGGGAGCTGGCCAGCCGCGGGCCCAGCCTCCTCTTCCTGGACGAGGTGGACGCTTTGTGTCCCCGGCGGGGCGGTCGAGCACCCGAGAGCCGCGTAGTGGCCCAGGTGTTGACGCTGCTGGACGGCGCAAGTGGGGACCGCGAGGTCGTGGTGGTGGGAGCCACCAACCGGCCGGACGCTCTAGATCCAGCGCTGCGTAGACCCGGGAGATTTGACCGAGAGGTGAATGGGCTTGGCGGGTTCGCCCACTGTCGGTGGAACCTCGGCCTTTTCTGGCACTAGTTGGCTGCCCCGGAGGCGTTTGTCTCTTAGGTTTGAGCATCGGTGAGGTTGGAGTGGGGCGCTTTGCAATGCAAAGAACACGTTCTCTGCCCATCTATGATCTGTGAGTCAGGACCCGTGTTTCCCCAGAGTCAGATTGTCAGGACCTGTGAGTCAGGATCTGTGAGTCAGGACCTGTATTTCCCCAGAGTCTTAATTGTTTTGGGAAGCGGGGTGGCCATTACGGATTAATTTTGTGCAGGTCCTATAATCAGTAATGTTAATTCTTAAGAGAATTTTGGTCACCTACAAGCATGTTAAACTCATGTTTTGGAATGAGAATTTAAAGAAGGATAACCTCAAGAAGTAAGTGTGTTGAAATAAAAAGGGAGAAGGCGGGGAAGAACTAAATGGAAGCAGGCATTAACTCTTCTGGATTTATTCATTCCTTGTCATAACACCAGCACCCTATCCCACAATTGAGAAAGTACCCACAACTGCTCCCTGAGTTGTCAGGGAGGTTGAATATTCAGAGCTGTCCTATTTTATAAGCTTTGGTCCTAAATTGACTTGAATGCTAAAGAATAGCTTGAAATTTAGTGACTGATATTTCTATTTTGTGATAGGATTCAAAAGAGAAATGATAATTACACTCTTTTAGTTAGTTCAGGACTTGAGTGGATTTCTTCCTTGCACTATCTAGTACCTTTGTGTCCTTAAGAGCCAGGGACCTAGCTATCTATACCTGGCTTCTAGAACTTTGTGTGTTGTAAAAATAACAAAAACTTGTTAAATGACATAGAATTTTCACTGTGCAACTTTCTAGCCAGTGTTACTCCTGGAGTATTAGGATTTTCATATATTCAGAATCTAAGCTATACGTAAAGTGCACAGTACTAGTTCCAAAATGGGTCACTAAATTGCCGTACATGTTTATCAGCATAAAAAACATATATTATTATTTTGGCAGGGCTTGGTGGCTCACGCCTGCAATCTCAGCACTTTGGGAGGCTGAGGTGGGTGGATCACCTGAGGTCAGGAGGTCGAGACCAGCCTGGCCAAGATGGTGAAACCCCGTCTCTACTAAAAATACAAAAATAAGCTGGGCGTGGTGGCGCGTGCCTGTAGTTCCAGCTACTTGGGAGGCTGAGGCGCCAGAATCACTTGAACCAAGAGGTGGAGGTTTCAGTGAGCCGATGGTGCCCATTGCCCTCCAGCCTGGGCAACAGAGTGAAACTGTGTCTCAAAAATGAATACATAATATATATATACACACATACACAGATATAATTTTTTTTTTGGAAGTAACTTTTTTAATTGATCTGTTTTTATTGATACATAATCGTGCATGTTTTGGGGTACATGTGATATTTTGGTACCTGCATACAATTTGTAGTTATCAAATCAGGGTGTTTAGGATATCCATCACCTCAAACATTTATCATTTCTTACCTGAGTGTTGGGAATATTTCAAATTCTCTCCAGTAGCAATTTTGAAATATACAAGAAATTATTGTTAACTGTGTTCAACCTACTATGCTATCAAACATTACACTTAGTCCTTCTATCTAACTGTATGTTTCTACCCATGAGCCAACCTCTCTTCATCCCCTCACCCCCCAACCCTTCCCAGTCTCTGGTTGCTATTCATTCTGCTGTCTACCTCCATCCATGAGATCAACTTTAAAAAGAATATATTTTAAACTATAAACTTCTTTTTTTGTTGTTTTGCTTTGCATATAGGTGGTCATTGGGACTCCCACACTTAAACAAAGAAAGGAAATTCTGCAAGCGATTACCTCAAAGATGCCCATCTCCAGTCATGTTGATTTGGGCCTTCTTGCAGAAATGACAGTTGGCTATGTTGGTGCCGACCTGACAGCACTCTGTAGGGAGGCTGCCATGCATGCTCTCCTTCATAGTGAGAAGGTAAGAAGCGTTAATTTATGAACATCTGTGTTAATCTGTTATGGTAACAGATTAATTTGGGGGTTAAAAAAAATGGTGAGTACATTTCCTTAGAACATTTGATAGCTTCCTCAGCTGTTGCTTATACATTTTACATCTCAACGCTATATAAATAGTATATGATTGAGGGTGGGGATAAAGGGCTGAGTCCTCTGGGTCTACGGAGTAAATGTGTTCTCTGCTCTTATAGTAACTCCCTCGTGCTGAAGCCCAGAGCAGCCAAGAAATAACGCATCTCCAGAAGAATCAAAGAGTTTTTTTATTTGAATTTTTTTTATTTTGAGGCAAATTCAGACTTAGAAGTTACAAAAACAGTACAAATAATTTCCATATACCCTTCTCCCAGATTCTCCAAATGTAACACTTGCCACATTTGCTTTATCATTCTCTCTTGTGTATTTTCTTTTCTCTTCATGTGTATTTTCTTTTATATATACATATATATAATGAAATATTTGAGAATATGCTACATCCATGATGCCCCTTTACCCTTGAAAACATAAGTGTATCTTTCTGAAAAACAAAGACTTTATACAAAGTCAAACAAATGATCAAGCTGAGAAAATTAACACAGACACAATACTTGTACTTAAATAGGCCTTAATCTAGAATCATACTTCAGGCTTTCTTCTATGACCATAACTTTTTAAGAGTCAGTTATTCTGTAGAATATTCCTCAGTTTGGGTTTGACTAATGTTTCTTCATGATTCAATTCAGTTTTTGCATTTTGGGCAGGAATATAATAGAAATGATCCTGTGTCTTTCTCATTGCATCTATTAGGCAGCACATGATATGTTTCTCTTCTATCACTGGTGAAGTTAACTTTGATTTCTTGGATAAGGTGGTGTCTGTGAGATTTCTCCATTGTCAAGATACCGTTTTTCCCTGTGGTGTTAGTAAGTTATCTAGTGGGAGACATAAACTTTTCTAACCTAGGAGAAGATTGGGTACTTGGAATTGTATTTAAATTTGTCCTTGACCTGCAGGTCTGTAATTCATGACTACCTTTCCTAACAATATTTAAGATATTAGATTAAATATAATACTTTTCAACATTGTTGGTTGGAAAATCCAGTATTTGGTATATAATAAATAGTCCTGAATCCTTAAACCCGTTCAGGAAAAAACTGATTTCAGCAGGCTAAGGATTCTGAAACAGAGTTTTCAATCTCATTTGTAACATCAAAATTGTCTTTTCATCTTAAAATGCGAAAGGATGATTTGTTATCCTAAATTTTGAAAAGCCTTTTTACCTAAATAATTTATACCTTGCCTCATTTCGTTTCCTTTATTTCTACAGTTACAGCGAAGGTGGGGAGGAGTTATGTGATCTTCTAGTGATCTTTTAAGTCTTCATCTTGTAGGTTTAGACCAAAACTGCTTGAAGTTTTAAAGTTCTGTGTGTAAAGGTGTGAGAATACATGTCTTATGAGGGAGACAATAAGAGTAAGCAGGAGATGGGAAGGGAGATTTACATTTAGGATTTCCTCTGCTTTGAAGTTCCAGGTTTGACTGTAAGCACCTCTGACTTAGGTGGCCCAGTCAGCTGCTGTTGTCCCAGGGTGGAGCCCACTGCTACTTCAGGAGGGGCCTGCTCAGGTGTAGTTACCACAGTTGATGGCTGAGTTCAGAAACAACCAAGGGGAAGTGGAAGGAAGAAAGGCAAAAAGGATGAAGGGACAGAGACAACTGGGAAGGTACTGGCTCCGTCTTTTATTCTTTCCCCCACCAGCTGAGGGGCTTCCCCTACCTCTACCTATGCCAGGGCAGATAAGGGATACCTTACAGTTTGTTAAACTTTTTGTGAACTATTCCTATTAAAGGATTAGAAATGTAGTTTAACACTCACACATACACAGAGGGGAAAGAATGTATATGCCCAAAGAATCAAGTAAAATAATGTGTACACACATGATCTGGAACTATAAATCAGATTTTCAAATACTAGTTGGTGTTACCTAAAGATTAGTTAGTATTTGGACATCAGACACCTAACATCTGATACTGTCAGCCAGTTAAAAAGACTATTTTTTTAAGTATGTGATAGTGTTATTCATGAGAAATGAAGATAGAAAATTATAAAGAACTGCCTACCTGAAATGTCACTTTCCAGAGATGACAATTGTTAACACTTTTGGGAGAATATACATACAGATTCACTTCACATCAGTTCACAAATAAGACAAGACAGTTTGTTTATGAAAATGGGAATTTGTGGACAACTAGATGTTTAGAATTAGATTTAAGAGGGCAAATACTTTAATAAATACAGTACAGACATTTTTAATAAAATTTTGAGGACTTTTTAACTAACAAAAATGTATTTCACTAGAATGATCAAGGAGAGTGTAAAAAGTCTCCAAAATATAAGCTGAGAGTGAAGATGACTTTTCTAGGCATAACATAAACCCTAAAGGAAATTATTTGCTGATTTGACCATTTGGGGGTGGCAAACAATACTATAAAGTCAGACTAGGAAAAATACTTTCAGTCCGATTTCTGTGATTTGGAAAGAACTTTTAAAAATCAGTGAGAATAGACCAACAGTCCAAGAGAAAATGGGTAATAGGATATGAACAGGTAGTTGACAATAAAAGGAATGTCAATAAACATGAAAAATCTTCAACCTTGATTTCTTTTAAAATTATTGTCTTTATTTTGAAATAATTTAAAATATATAGTAAAGTTGCAAGATAGTTACAAAGAACTTCCACTAAACCTTTTATCCAAATTCACCAATTTTTAACATTTTGTCAAATAAGCTTTATCATTCTCTTTTGCTCTCTTTCTTGCTCCCTCTCGTCCTCTTCTCTCTCTCTCTCATCTCTGTATATATATATTTATATGCACATAGTATTTATTTATTTTGGACCATTTGAGAGAATGGGTTGCATATATCATAACATTTCATCCCTTAACATTTTAATGTCTATTTCCTAAGGACAACAATGTTCCTGTATGTCACCACAGTATGGTCATGTGTAGTATTGTGTCCTTAGAGCCTCACATGTAGAGGCACAGGGTGTTCATTGGTTCCTCATTGGTGATGCTAATTTTTGTCAGCTAGTTCAGGTGGTGTGCAGTTTCTCCACTGTGTAACTGCTGTTTTTTCCCTTTGCCACTAATGAGAAATCTATGGGGAGACACTTGGAGATATCCTGCTCCTCATCAAACTTTCAGGCTAGGCGCAGTGGCTTATGCCTGTAGTCCCAGCTGCTCGGGAGGCTGAGACAGGAGGATCACTTGAACCCAGGTGTTCGAGGCTCAGTGAGCTGTTGCCTCAATGCCACTGCACTCCAGCCTGGGCAGCAGAGCAAGACCCTGTCTCATAAAAGAATAAACTTCCCTCAATGTAGCATCCAATTCTTGCTCATAACAGCCTTTAATATCATGATTGCAAAAAAGGCAATTTTTCTAATTCCAATATTCCCTCTACCTCATTCTGAATTGAAGAAATTTAGTTAACACAGTAATGAATGAGTAGTGGTTCTTCTGTCATATTGGCAGACACTTAAGAGTTTGGTAATGGGCCAGGCACAGTAGCTCATGTCTATAATCCCAGTACTTTGGGAGGCTGAGATAGGTGGGTCACTTGAGGTCAGGAGTTCGAGACCAGCCTGGCCAACATGGGGAAACCCCATCTCTACTAAAAATACAAAAATTAGCCAGGTGTGGTGGTGCATGCCTGTAAATCCCAGCTACTTGGTAGGCTGAGGCATGAGAATCAACCCAGGAGGCGAAGGCTGCAGGGAGCCAAGATCACAGCACTGTACTCCAGCCTGAGTGACAGAAGAGACTCCCAAAAAAAAAAAAAAAGAGAGAGAGAGTTTGTTATTGTCCAGTATTGGAGAGGTGTGGAGAGAACACAGCTTCATGTTATTGAAGGAGAGTAAATTGATACAGCTTCCTTAGAGAACAATTTGGTAATAGCTGTCAATGTATATGTGTGTACTTATAAACCCAGTAATTCTACTTTGAGGAAATTATTACATAAAATACTTGAACATGAGTTTGAACATAGTGGCTCATGCCTGTAATCCCAGCACTTTGGGAGGCTGAGATGGGAGGATTGCTCGAGCTCACGAGTTCCAGACCAGCCTGGGCAACATAGGGAGACCCCGTCTGTACAAAAAAAAAAAAAATTTATTTTTTGGCCAGGTATGGTGGTTCACACCTATAATACAGCACTTTGGGAGGCTGAGGCGGGGATCACGAGGTCAGGAGATCGAGACCATTCTGGCTAACACGGTAAAACCCCATCTCTTCTAAAAATACAAAAAATTAGCCAGGCGTGGTGGTGGGCGCCTGTAGTGCCAGCTACTCAGGAGGCTGAGGCAGGAGAATGGCGTGAACCCAGGAGGCAGAGCTTGCAGTGAGCCGAGATTGCGCCACTGCACTCCAGCCTGGGCAACAGAGCGAGACTCCGTCTCAAAAAAAAAAAAATTAATTAGCCAGGCTTGGTGGCACACACCTGTAGTTCTACCTACTCCAGAGGGTGAGTTGCAAGGATTACTTGAGCCTGGGAGACTGCAGTGAGCTATGATAATGTCACTGCATTCCAGCTTGGGCAACAGAGTGAGACCCTGTCTCAAACAAATACTTGAACATGAGCACAGAGACTTTTTCAGTTGCAGCTTTGTTTTTAATATCAAAAGACTGGGGATGACCTAATGTTTGTCAGAAAGGTGTAGTTGGGGTAAATTCAGTAGTATACTATGGAATTGTCAGAAAGAATGATGTAGAACTATATTAGTTGACATGAAAAGATATATATTAGTTGACATGAAAAGAACTATATTAGTTGACATGAAAAGGTGAAAGAAGAAAAGTACAGGTTGATATAGTATGGTTCTATTTGTGTATCTGTTTAAAAGGATATTTGTATGCTTATTATCATAACATACTGGAAGAATCACAAGAAACTGTTGACATCTTTCAGGGAAGAATTAACTGGCGGGAATTGGCAGGGAGACATTTATTCTTTGTACTATTTATATAAATTGTTTTTATAATGATAACAAAATTACAAATCCAAAAGAAGATTTAAAAAACGAATTGTGCTATAAAAAAAGACCAACCTAATTTTTGGTTTAATTTTGATTTTTGGGGTGTATTTCTTCAGAACCAGGACAATCCTGTGATTGATGAAACAGACTTCCTTGAAGCTTTTAAAAATATTCAACCCTCATCGTTTCGAAGCGTCATTGGATTGATGGATATCAAGCCTGTTGACTGGGAGCAGATTGGTGGCCTTGAAGATGTAAAACTGAAGTTAAAACAGGTAAGACAGATAATCTACTTAATCCAGTAGGATATTACAGATTAACATTCTGTGCATTTATGATGACAACATACTGCACTGAAACTACTCTTTCTGCTATCACTAATGTGATCCTAACATCTAAATCCAATGATTGCTTTTCAGTCCTTATTTAATTGGACTTCTATGGATGTCTAAATTGGTTTTTATAATTTCCCACCTCGACCCTCTCTTTTTTTGTTTTTGCATTAAAGAGTTTATAACCTAAGGCTGGGTGTGGTGGCTCATATCTATAATCCCAACACTTTGGGAGGCCAAGGGAGGAGGATTGCTTGAGTTCAGGAGTTCAAAACCAGCCTGGGCAACATAGCAAGCCCTTGTCTCTATTTAAAAAGAAAAAAGTTCATAACCTAAGGCTGGGCACGGTGACTCATACCTGTAATCCCAGCATTTTGGGAGGCTGAGGCGGGTGGATCACCTGAGGTCAGGAGTTCAAGACCAGCCTGGCCAACATGGTGAAACCTTGTCTCTACTAAAAATACAAAAATTAGCTGGGCATGCTGGCAGGTGCCCATAATGCCAGCTACTTGGGAGGCTGAAGCAGGAGAATCACTTGAACCTGGGAAGCGGAGGTTGCAGTGAGCCGAGATCCCACCACTGTACTTCAGCCTGGGTGACAGAGAAAGACCCTGTCTGGGGAGAAAAAAACAAAGTGTGTAACCTGTAGTCTTAGCACTTCAGAAGGTCGAGACAGGAGGATCTCTTGAGGCCAAGAATTCAAGACCAGACTGGGCAACATAGTAAGACTCCCTGTCTCTACAAAAAAAATTTTTTTTGAGACATGGTTGCTCTGTCACCCATGCTAGAGTATGGTGTCACAAACACAGCTCACTGTACCCTTGAACTCCTGGGCTCAAGCAGTCCTTCTGCCTCAGCCCCCCAAGTAGCTGGGACTGCAGGTGCATACCACCACGCCTGGCTAATTTTTTAATTTTTTGTAGAGATAGGGTCCCACTGTGCTACTCAAGCTGGCCTTGAACTCCTGGGCTTAAATAGTCCTCCAACTCGGCCTTCTAAAGTGCTGGGATTATAGGCATGAGCCACCATGCCTGGCCTACAAAAAAATTTTCTGAATTAGCCAGGTGTGGTGGCACTGCTTGTGGTCCTAGCTACTCAGGAGGATCACTTGAGCCTTGACCCCAGGAGATGGAGGCTGCAGTGAGCTATGATTGCACCACTGCACTGCAGCTTGGGCAACAGAGTGAGATCCTGTGTCTTTAAAAAAATATAAAAAAAAATTTTGGCTGGGCACAGTGGCTCACGCCTATAATCCCAGCACTTTGGGAGGCTGAGGCAGGCAGATCACCTGAGGTCAGGAGTTTGAAACCAGCCTGGCTAACATGGAGAAACCCCGTTTCTACTAAAAATGCAAAAAATTAGCCGAGCATGGTGGCACGTGTCTCTAATCCCAGCTACTCGGGAGGCTGAGGCAGGAGAATCGCTTGAACCCAGGAGGTGTAGGTTGCAGTGAGCCAAGATTGCGCCACTGCACTCCAACTTGGGCAACAAAAGTGAAACTCCATCTCAAAAAAACAAAAACAATGTATAGGCCGGGTGCGGTGGCTCACACGTGTAATCCCAGCACTTTGGGAGGCTGAGGCGGGAGGATCACGAAGTCAGGAGTTCAAGACCAGCCTGGCTAACATGATGAAACCCTGTCTCTACTAAAAATACAAAAATCAGCCTGGTGTGGTGATGCAATCCTGTAATCCCAGCTACTCGGGAGGCTGAGGCAGGAGAATCACTTGAACCCAAGAGGCAGAGGTTGCAGTGAGCTGAGATCGCACCACTGCACTCCAGCCTAGGACAGAGTAAGACTCCATCTCAAAAAAAAAAAAGAAAAATCAATTTATAATCTAAAACGGGTCAGCAAATTTTCTGTAGAGAGAGCCACACAGTAAATGTTTTAAACTTCACAACCACTCATCTCTGCCATTGTCGCACCAAAGCAGCTGTAGACCATATGTAAATGAGTAATTGTATTCTGATAAAATTATGGACACTGAAATTATATAATTCTCACATGTCAGAAAATATTCTTTTGATATTTCTTCAAGCATTTAAAAATGTAAAAATTCTTCTTAGTTTGGCTGTACCAAATATAGGTGGAAGGCCTTAGTTTGCCTGGATATCTGATCTAAAAGACATTAAATGGACGTAGTACAGGGACTGTTAAAAGCACAAATTTGAAATGAACAAGATGGTTACCTGATAGTGGATTTCACAGCTCTTCAGATCGCAACTCTTTAGATCCTCTCACCTGCATTACAGTTTCAGAAATTGATTTTGCCAATTCGCCTACATGTGATCCTGCCCTAATGAACTAGGTTTCTCTAACCACACACATAACAGACTGATATGTAAGTAATAATTATAATTTTTTCATCTTAGCCAGGAGCTCTATCTCCAGTGAACCCTAGAATTTTTGAGTCCATGGATAAGAGCATTTATAATAGGTGCCAATATTTTTTATGCATTGTCTTATTTAATCTTTACAAGATGCATGAGAGAAATTAGCCACACCTTCCTCTTGGAAGCACTCTGTTTCCTTTGCTTTGAGACATTAAGCTTTTCTGCCTTTCTGGGCACCCCTCTCCCCTGCCTTAAATGTTAGTGCTCAAGAGGCTCCCGGAGTCCTCTTGTTGGAGCTGTGGGTGGTTTTATGATGATCTTGATGTCCGCAGCATCAACTGACCCCTGAAAACTGTTGACTCAGAAATCTGTATATCTAGAGTAGACATTTCTTCTGCTCATCAGAACTACTTCACTGCCTGCCTATTGGATAACCCCAGAGATGTCAAACTCAGCATGTCCAAAGTTCAGCTAGTCAGCTCTTCCCCCACACTTGGATCCCCTACCTCAGTTAATACAGCTAGCCACCCCATCCTCTAAGTCAGAAATCTGTCTTCTAAAGGCATAGCATTAGAACTTTGTCCTTATGTAAAGTACAATTCTGTTTTATGTTTCAAATATCCATCCCTTCCACACCATCTTCACTGCTTGTGACACTCCAGCCTTATTATTTTTGTAGACTGAATCATTGCAAGAAACTTCTAACTGGTCTCCTTGCCTCTAGTTTCATTTCCTTCCAGTCCATTCTTCATACTACTTCCTCAGTGCAGACTAAAGCTTTCAAGGCCTGTTGTGATCTGGCTCCTATCTCCACTTCAACGCCATTACTTAACTTTGTTTAAGCCTGAGTTTTTGCATCTGTAAAATAATGATTAAAATGGCTAAAAACCATTTACCTTAAAGGTAATGAGGACTCATTCACTATTGAGTTTACTACTACTGAGTGCCTCCTTTGGGTAGGTGTCATTCTAGGTGCTGGGGATTTTAAGGTGAGCTTTGCTTATGTTCTAGCAGAGTAGAATGACAAACCCAACGTGGAAAAATAATAATAGTGAATAAGTGCTTTAAAAGTAAAGGATGGGCAGTAGCATAGAGAATGAGTAGGAGGAGGGGGGCTTACGCTTTAACCAGCTGGTTAGGAAAGACCTCTCCAAGGAATTGACACCTGTGCTGAGACCTGAGTGATGAGGGATAGCCACATGAAGATCTCAGGGGAACGTTCAGGTAGAGAGGAAAGCAAGGAAAGCAAGGAAAGGCTCTGAGATGGGAACAAACTAAGTGTTTAGGAGATAGTCAGATTATATAAGGCCTTGTCAGCTGTGGTGAGTAAGGAGTTTTGATTTGGATTTTATTCTCATTCTAATAGTAAATCATTGAAGGATTTTAAACAGGAAGTGATGTCACCTGACTCAAATTATAAGCTCTCTGCAGTGTGGAGAATGGACTGTTTCCAGCTCATGACAGGAGCCTGAGAATTGTTAAATGAACAAATGAATTTACTGGATGATTTGACATTTTATTATTACACTAAAACAACTCTTCTCTTTTTGTGTACTTTCAGAGCATAGAGTGGCCTCTGAAATTCCCTCGGGAATTTGTTAGGATGGGCCTGATGCAACCGAAGGGAGTTCTCCTCTGTGGGCCCCCTGGATGTGCTAAAACCACTCTGGTGAGGGCCCTGGCCACAAGCTGTCACTGCTCTTTTGTTTCAGTGAGTGGAGCTGATCTGTTTTCACCATTTGTTGGAGATTCAGAAAAAGTCTTATCTCAGGTTTGTTTATTTCCCCATATGTTTAAATTTACTTTTGAATTTTTATTTCATTTCTTATGGACAAACATTTTTTAAAATATTACTAATGTTTTTTCCAGTTAAAAAAGTTATACATGTTTATTGAAAATTTAGAAAATATAGGAAAGTGTAAATATGAAATCCTTCGTAATCCTCCTACCTACTATTAACATTTTGGTTAATTTCCTTTGTCTTTTTTTTCTGTTTTAAATAAAATCAAGAGTAGGTTTTATATATCTATAGCTTTATCCTGCTTTTTAAAACTTAATATTACCACTTTTGAAATTCCATAGCGTCAATTCTTTGAAAATACGGTTTTTAACTCTTACATAATACTCCATTGTTTCTTGTTTTATTTACTCGTTCCCCAATTCCTAGACATTCAGAATCTTTTTTTATATATTTTAAAAATTATAAATAGTGGCCAGGTGTGGTGGCTCATGCTTGTAATCCCAGCACTTTGGGAGGCCAAGGTGGGTGAATCACTTTAGGCCAGGAGTTCGAGACCAGCCTGGCCAACATGGCGAAACCCCATCTCTACTAAAAATACAGAAAAATTAGGTGGGTGTGGTGGCGCACACCTATAATCTCATCTACTCGGGAGACTGAGGCACAAGAATTGCTTGCGCCTAGGAGGCAGAGGTTGCGGTGAGCTGAAATTGCACCACTATACTCCAAACTGAGCAACAGAGCAAGACTGTCTCAAAAACAGAATTATAAATAGTAATGTGGAAAGCATACATTCACATGACTAATGTATAACATATAGCTTTTTAATATTTTTTTCCTAACAAAAGATATTTCGACAAGCAAGAGCAAGTACTCCAGCAATTGTGTTTTTGGATGAAATTGATTCAATCTTGGGAGCTCGCTCAGCCAGCAAGATAGGATGTGATGTTCAAGAACGAGTTCTTTCTGTTCTCCTGAATGAATTAGATGGTGTTGGACTTAAGACAATAGAGAGAAGAGGAAGTAAATCAAGTCAACAGGGTAAATACAAGGAGCTGAAAAAATGAAGAGGTATTTATTAGCCAGAACGCACCTAAAATCCAGGCCAACATTAAATAGAATGCATATATGCTATAGCTTTACTTACGCTGAATTCATCTCGTACAAGGATTTATTATAATTTCAGTTTGACTTTGTTAGGGCTTTTAGAGCTAATAAAAATTGTGATTTGGCTAGAAAAGGTGAGGTACATCTTATAATAAGTTATCTTAAGTATAATAATGTAAATTTTATTTTTCCTAAGAATGAGAAATATAGTTTTCTTATTGCTAATAGAGAAGGCAGTTTATTCTTGTTTCCATGTCCTAAAAAACCAGTATTCATTTCTTTCTAAAAATTTTTATGTAGGCTGGGCACAGTGGCACACCCCTATTATCCCAGCACTTTGGAAGGCCAAGGCAGAAGGATTGCTTAAGGCCAGGAGTTTCAGACTAGCCTGGCCAACATTGCAAGGCCCCATCTATGAATGAATGAAGGAAGGAAGGAAGGAATGAATGAATGACAAAGGATATTATTTCCAATAGTCTTAGTATGGAAAATTTCCAGTTTTCTTGAGAAATGGGTTTCTTTGGTTTTAATGAATTAAAATGGCCTTTGGAAGTCCCCTCCCTGTCTTTCTGAGTCTCTTCTCCAGAGTTTGGTATCCCTAAATTATCCCTGATATTTTTCCTTTTCTTTTATTCCTCTCTTGTTGTCACTCATTTCCTATTTTTAAAATTGTTGCATGGGATTGTTGCATACACTCCTTAGGAACATGTCATACTAGAATTAGGAGGTACCCACGAGGTTATCTAATCAAATCATTCCATAATACAGGAATTCCTTCTATAACATCTGACAGGTATTTACCTAGCATCTGCTAAAATACTTGCAAACATAGGGAACTTAGTACTTTGAGGGATTATGTCACTGGAGAGTTGCCTGAGTATTCAACAAATGATTTTGAATGCTTAGTATATGTAAAGCCTTTCTCTGTCTGCTTTTAGACATTTCTTTATCCAGGATTTGCATACCTGCAACTTAGATTGTCATTTCACAGACAAATAAAAAGTCCAGTAAATCTTCGACTCTTTAGGGATATGAGAGTCAAGACTTTTCTGTAACCATATATCTCTACCCGTTGGTCATACATATCTGTCTTTTCAAGTAGCCCGTTTAAGGTGTAATCCTTCATTGGAGGCTCAGGTGCACTCAAGTCACCAGATGAGTGTTCTTCTCTTTGGGATAAGGCTTTTCATAAGTTTTCATACGGAGAATATCTCTTAGGTACTCCCTTAGCCATGCACACGAAGTACTTCTTCTATTAATGATTTGTTTCTGGGATATCTTGATATCAAGAAGCTGGTCTGGAAAGGGGATATAAGCGTTCTGGTCCCAAGAAAAGGATATCCCTATTTCAATTTAAATAGATCTTCTGATTTATAATTTTTAAAAAACTCACAACTGATTGAAATTACTTTTTGTTGTGTGTTTGCCCTCAGAGTTTCAAGAAGTTTTTAACCGAAGTGTCATGATTGTTGCAGCAACAAATAGACCTGATGTGTTAGATACTGCTTTGTTACGACCTGGAAGATTAGATAAGATCATCTATATTCCACCTCCAGATCACAAGGTAATCACTGTAAACATTTACTGTGTGTGAGCTCAGCAGAATGGAATTCCAGTCTGGATATAGGTGTCCATGATGTTCTACTCACCCTGGGTTCCACCTTCCTTGCCTTCCTTCCTTCCTTTCATTGCATCATAATTTTGATCTGCCTTTGTTGGATACTCTGATCCTGTTCACAGAGAAACATAAGCCTAAATATAAGGTGGTTATTGTATGTGTTGTGGCAGACTCTAAATACGGAGTCAACTCAGCATTATTTTGCAGCTAGAGTAAAGGAATCGTAAAGTGTTAAAAGAGCTTTGAAGATTGAGTCAGCATCCTTATAGTACAGTGCAGAAGTCGGAAATCACAGAGATTATGCTGTGTGTTGTGGTCAACCAGTAAATTTGTTGTCCTTGAAGTACAGTGCAGAAACCTGAGATATCAGAGATTATGCAGTGTATCATGGTCAACCAGTACATTTTTTGTCGTTAACAGCCAGAGCCACTGACAGGCAGGGTGAAAGGCACAGAGTGAATTTTTTTGTTCCTTGAGCTTTTATCAAGTTTTGAAGGGATAGAAAAATAAAATTTATTATCTGTTATACCTTTAAGTTATATCTGATAATTCATGTATTTGCTTCTTAAGCCATGTCTAATAGTATTATTTGTACCCAAAAGAGAGATTCAGCTGGGCGTGGTGGCTCATATCTATAATCCCACACTTTTGGAGGCCAAGGCGGGCAGATCACCTGAGATCAGGAGTTCGAGACTAGCTTGGCCAACATGGTGAAACCCCGTCTCTACTAAAAATACAAAAATCAGCTGGGTGTGGTGGCAGGCTCCTGTAATCGCAGCTACTCGGGAGGCCAAGGCAGGAGAATCACTTGAACCCGGGAGGCAGAGGTTGTAGTGAGCCAAGATCGTGCCACTGCACTCCAGCCTGGGCGACAGAGCAAGACTCCATCTCAAAAAAAAGAGAGATTCATAAGTTTTTTATGATGTCATGATTTTTACCATTGTCATATGGGCCATTGATGACTTAGTCCTTCTAACCTCTGTATATACTTTCTCGGTAATGTGAAAGAAAACTCAAGCTAAAAATATTTTAATAAATCATTGTGTCAAACATAAATGTTATAAGATTTAAAATGCTGTTTTTTATTTTGTTCCAGGGCAGGCTTTCTATTTTAGAAGTCTGTACAAAAAACATGCCAATAGGTCCTGATGTCTCCTTAGACAAAACAGCAGCAGAAACCCTCGTTTTTTTTCGGAGCTGATCTTTTAGAACTCGCACAGAAGTACCAGTAACTCACGTCGAGAAATTGTGGGTTCAAAACATTTCTTCATACTTTCAAACTCCTTCATTCACTCAGCACCGTAATTAACTAAAAAGCCTGTGGGTACAGCTTAACGCAAAAACAAGAAGATTTTCGTAAACTTTTTTTTACCAAATATAACCATCAGAACAGAAGGCACGGACTCATAACGGGTAACAGTTCATCTTTGACTTAAATCTACTCAACTCACTACTCTATGTCAGGGAATTCAGAACATTAACAAACACCCCACGAACAAATCTTCCTTGGGTCCTTTCCACCTCTTGTCACCTACCCCTCTCTCCTCCTGAAAGAGAACTATTGGCAACTGGCTTAGTCGGCGACTCCATGGCCTCGTATCCAGCACTTGTTGGCGGTCAAAGCAGGAGGGATCATCTGAAGCCCACGGAAGTCTGAGACCCAGCCTGGCAAACATGGGGAGCCTTGTCTCTAAAAAAATTTTTTAAAACAATTTGTCCCGGCTACTCCAGGAAAAGCTGAGGTGGGAGATCCACTTGAGCCTGGGGTCCAAGGCCTTCGTAAGTGACCATGATATGTCACTTGTATCTTCTGCCTGGTGAATAGAGCAGACTCTGTCCCAACCAAAAAAAAAAAAAAAAAACACAAAAAGCGGAACCACTGTTTTCCCACTTCCAACAGTGGGGAATTAGTTGTCCTGCTGTGAACTTTTAATATGATGCGAAGCTGATGGCTCAATGTGTATTTCTGTCTTTGGTTCTTTAACCCAAAAGAAAGAACCTCATCCAATCGCGCTTCTCCTGTGTGTAACATATTTCTACCAATATTCTAGTACCATGATATCGTACCATTTTGTTTATCCATTCTTTTATTTTGGAAGCCTATCTGCGTTCCTAACTTTTTTGCTATATGATTAAGTGCTGCTGTGAACAGCCCTTCGGGCGGGCAACATGCCTCTTAGTTCCCATCGTCTAACTTATGCTCTTATTTGTTAAACATACTTAGCTACAAGGAGGAATTGCTCGGGTCATAGGGTATGTGTTTCATCTATTTTCCTTTATAATAAGTGCTGGCTGAAGCGACCTTTCCTACTTCCACCATCAGAAGGTATTCTCTTATCTTTAAAAGTACATGTGCGGGTCTTCTTCATAACACACTATATATTAATCTACAACTTGCTTTTTCTTTCTTCCCATGTAAGGCTTTCTTTTTTCCCATTAATGTAAAAGAGGTTATGGTATACAAAGTGGATTTTTAATCACCTTATTTAACTTTTTAGCATAATATTTTTAGTGACATGAAAATTAGAATCCTATGAAGTGAGGCTGAGATTTTCCATTCAGAGTTTAAAGTATTACCATATATTGTTAAAAAAAAAGAAAAGAGGGCAGGCGCTGTGGCTAACGCCTGTAATCCCAACACTTTGGGAGGCTGAAGCAGGTGGAACACGAGGTCAGGAGTTCGAGACCAACCTGGCCAACATGGTGAAACGCCATCTCTACTAAAAATACAAAAATTAGTCAGGTGTGGTGGCAGACACCTGTAATCCCAGCTATTCGGGAGGCTGAGGCAGGAGAATGGGTTGAAACCGGAAGGTGGAGGTTGCAGTGAGTCGAGATCGCGCCTCTGCACTCCAGCCTGGGCAACAAGAGCGAAACTCTGTCTCAAAAAAAAAGCAAAAAGAAATTGTTTTCTATTGCTTGTCTCTTAATAGGCTGCTTTGCTGGCTCTGCAAGAAAATGGACTAGACACAACTACAGTGAAACAAGAGCACTTTCTAAAATCACTTAAGACTGTAAAACCATCGTTAAGTCGCAAGGACTTGGCTTTATATGAAAATTTATTTAAGAAAGGAGGATTTTCTAACTTGGAAGGTATTTAAAAATCACCTTACACCCTTGTTCAGTTGTTCACGTTAATTGAAATGTGAACTTGCCTGTCGTTTGCAACTTCACACTTTTAGAATTTGTGTTTGTATTTCCTGTAAGTAAATAAATAAAAACAAAAAAACAAAAAACACAAAACCTTGTGCCTGATAAGCTAAGGCTCATTTATTTTTAAAAGGCATATTAAATAAAATACTGTAATTTAGGAAGAAAGTATGTGTGTGTTGATTTTTGTTGTAAGGGGTGGTTGGTTTTGGGTGATTGCTTTTTTATTAAACCCTGAAATAATTTCATACTTACAGAAAAGTTGCAAAAATAGTACAAAAAATTTTTATGTGCTCAAACCCAGATTCACTGATTTTTAACATTTTGCCACATTTGCTTTCTCTGTCTTCCCCACCCCTTATACATACACACATACACACACACAGTTTTTTTTTTGAGTGGTTTGAGAATAGATTATATACATAATGTCCCCTCCCCCCCTTAATACTTGAGTGTATATTTGTTACAAATAAGGTTATTATATGACTAAATTCAGGAAATTTAATACTGACACAGTATTCTAATCTATCATCCAGTGAATTTCATGTACTGTCACAATAACGTCCTATATGATAATTTTCCCCATTACAGGATCCAGTCTAGGATCACACATTTCATTTAGTCACCATGTCTCTTTAGCCTCTTAACTTGAAACAGTTTCTCAATCTTTCTTGACCCTGACATTTTTGAAGAGTATAGACCAATTATTTTACTGAACAGTTCGTTCCTGGACTTGTAGTTGATGTTTTGTCATGGTAGATGTAGGTTATGTATTACCAGTGGAGCATACATAGGGGCATTGTGTTCTCAGAGCATCACAGCTGAAGGCACATGTCGTCTGTACATTATTGATGTTAATTTTGATCATTTGTTTGCAGTATTGTCTGGTTTCTCCACTATATTGCTATTTTTCCTTTTGTAGTTGCAAGTAGTTTAAAGTTTTTAAAGAGACAGGTTACATGTACATTTTTATTTTCATTTATTACAAAATAATTTAGAATACTAGAAAATACAAAAACATAAAAAAATCCTTTAGTGTTTAACCTTCCAGTCCTTCACGCATGTATAGATAATTTTTAAAACCAGAAAGGAATGATACCGCATAACTCTTGTTCTTCTCACCTAACAATATCTGGTAAACATCTTACTAGGCCATTCTCCACTCACAAGGTGCTAAGCTGGGTGCTGGAACATCCAGTGAACAAGGCAGGCATCAGACAAATTGTCAGTGAATTAATTACAATGGTAAGAAGTGCTTCAAAAGAAGTAGAGGGTACGATGAGAGACTACTGCATGAAATGTGTGAAGTCATAAAATGTTAAGGAGTTATTGGAAAGTTTTCTATTGCTGAGTGCAGCCAGGACTATTGGGAATAATTAAGGAAAAAACCTGATTTATAGGTATAAAATACTCAAAATTATTCTAACACACTGACCTTTGCTTTTTAGTATAGGAAAATACCTAGAAAACTTACTGGAATTCTTACTATACATTTTCTTTGTTGGTTATTGATCTTATTGAACAAGGCAGCCATCCTGCACCTGACAAACCCTGGCCTGAACCCCTTAACTCAGACATCTAGCTGTGGGCTAGATGTCTTTCTTTTCCAGAAAGTTTCTAGTAGGCTGGTAATTTAGCAACCATGCTTGTTCAAGGCTGAGCTGATTTGAAGATGTCTTTTTAAATTGTAATTAAAGTCAACGCTCCACATCTGTGGGTTCCACATGGGCAGATTCAACCAACTGTGTGGGTTGAAAATAGTTGAAAAAACAAAAACAATACAACAATTAAAAAATAGGCCAGGTGTGGTGGCTCACACCTATAATCCCAGCACTTTGGAAGGCCGAGGCGGGCAGATCACCTGAGGTCAAGGGTTCAAGACCAACCTGGTCACCATGGTGAAATCCTATCTCTACTAAAAATACAAAAAATTAGCTGGGGCATGGTGGGGTGCGCCTGTAATCCCAGCTACTCTGGGCTCAGGTGGGAGAATTGCTTGAACCCAGGAGGTGGAGGTTTGCAGTAAGCCAAAATCACACCACTGCACTCTGGCCTGGGTGACCAAGCAAGATTCTGTCTCAAATAAATACAAATTTAAAAAATCATAAATAAAAAACAACAGTGTAACAATTGCTTGCATAGCATTTATATTATATTAGGTGTTATAAGTAATTTAGAGATGTTTTTTAAAGTATAACCAGGAGGACGTGTGTGGGCAACCTGCATATACTACACCATCTTTTATCAGGGACTTGAGTATTCTTGGATTTTGGTGTCTGAGCAGGGTCCTGGAACCAATTCCCTGCAGATATAGAGGGAGGACTCTGTAACTTCTCAGCAGAACACTGGAAGCTTCCTGAGCACAAAGACTATGTGTCTCTTCTCACTGAAATGCTCAATAGATGACATAATGAGATCAAGAATTTCTTTGATCCTGTTCCAATCTGATTTTAGAATGGCTCTGGGCAACTTCCAAAAGCTATATTCTTGATCTGCGAGAAAATTAAAACACCAGCTTCTAACACCTTTCTTCTGGTATACCGGGAAGTGTAAACAGTTTTCCCTATAAACTGAACTCAAACTGCTTTCTGGGCCACATTATTGCTTAAGGCTGACTAACCTTAAACAATATAGAACGTCCCTGGAACCCCCAAAATTCAGCAAATCCAGTGTTATACGCCTGGTCATAAGGCAGCCACTGAAGGATGAGGTGTCAGGATGAGCACATCCACCATCAGGAACAGGGAGAATTTCAACAAAAAATATTTAATAATGAAATATTCTCTTTTTCTCATAAAAGCCCGAGCTGGGCTGATTAAAATCTAAATTCCTGGCCGGGCATGGTGGCTCACGCCTGTAATCCCAGCACTTTGGAAGGCTGAGGCGGGCGGATCACCTTACCTGACTCAGGCTGGTCAGGAGTTCGAGACCACCCTGGCTAACATGGTGAAGCCCTATCTCTACAAAAATTAGCCAGGGGTAATGGCTCACGCCTGTAATCCCAGCTACTTGGGAGGCTGAGGCAAGAGGATTGCTTGAACCCGGTAGACACAGGTTGCAGTAAGCCAAGATCGCGCCACTGCACTCCAGCCGGGGCAACAGAACGCGACTCCATCTTAAAAAAAAAAAATAATCTAAATTCCTGGGGTAGGAACCAAGCAGCCATGTCTCCCTGCCCCTGCAAGCCTATGTGGTAGTAGCTAGAGAAAGGCTCTACAAGTTGCTGGTAACTGGGGGTGGGTGGGGAAGACCCCCCAAGGGATTATGGGCTCTGGGGCAGCCACAGAAGGTGATGCTGGTGAGTGTCCTGAGTGGACTTCTTTGGGGGCTGCCAGGGTCTGAAGGGCTGGGAAGTGCCTGTTTCTCATCCTGGTCACCTAGGCAGTACTGGCCTGGTGGTGCCTTCTGGGCACCCTGGCCAGTACACAGGGTTTGGGGGCAGGGAGGACCCTAATTTCATGTCTATTCTCCAGTTGCTAGTGGTGAGGCTATGAATTCCATTACATTTTGGAGTGGGAAGTGTTCTTATTGCTAAAGAACTGAATGACAAACTTCTTTTCTAGGGTCTTGACTTCACAACCTCAGGCAAAAGGGCAGAAAATCTGAAGGTTCTTGAGTCACATACAGTTGACCCTTGAACAACACAGGTTTAAACTCCTTGGGTCCACTTATTATTAATTACTTTTTAGACGGAGTCTCACTTTGTCACCCAGGCTGGAGTGCAGTGGCATGATCTCGGCTCACTGCAACCTCCGCCTCCCGGGTTCAAACGATTCTCCTGCCTCAGTCTCCCAAGTCACTGGGATTACAGGCACCCGCCACCACACCTGGCTAATTTTTATATTTTTAGTAGAGACAGGGTTTCAACATGTTGGTCAGCCTGGTCTCGAACTCCTGATCTCAGGTGATCCGCCTCTTGGCCTCCCAAAGTGCTGGGATTTGCGTGGGTCCACTTGTATGTGAATTTTCTTCCACCTCTGCCACACTGAAGTAGCAAACCAACCCCTCCTCTTCTTCCTCCTTCTCAGCCTACTCAATTTGAAGAGATGGAGACCTTTCTGATGACCCACTTTTGCTAAATGAATAGAAATATATTTTCTCAACTAGGCACAGTGGCTCATGCCTGTAATCCCAGCTACTCGGGAAGCTGAGGCAGGAGAATCACTTGAATTTAGGAGGCGGAGGTTGTAGTGAGCTGACATTGTCCCACTGCACTCCAGCCTGGGTGACAGAGCAAGACTCCGTCTCAAAAAAAAGAACTATACTATCCTGGCCAACATGGTGAAACCCTGTCTCTACTAAAACATAAAGAAATTAGCCACCATGGTGGTGTGCACCTGTAGTCCCAGCTACTCGCGCTGGGATCTTGCCACTGCACTCCAGCCCGGGCGACAGAGCAAGACTCCGTCTCAAAAAAAAAAAGAACGATATTTTCTTTTCCTTATGATTTTCTTCATAACATTGTTATTTTCTCTTGCTTGCTTTATTGTAAGACCTTTATCTAAAAAGCAAAATATGTGTTAGTCAACTGTTTAGGTTATCAGTAAGGCTTCTGGTCAATACTGGGTTATGAGTAGTTAAATATTGGGGGAGTCAAAAGTTATATGCAGATTTCTGTGTGGAGAGCAGGGGTGTGTAAGTTCCCCTAACCCCCAAGTTGTTCAAGGGTCAACTGTATTTGTTTTGGCGACAGTTTTTTGTTGTTGTTTGTTTAAGAAACAGGGTTTTGGGCTGGGCGCGGTGGCTCACGTCTGTAATCCCAGCACTTTGGGAGGCCAAGGCGAGCGGATCACTTGAGGTCAGGAGTTTGAGACCAGTCTGGCCAGCATAGTGAAACCCCATCTTTACTAAAAATACAAAACAAAAAAAAGCCGATGTGGTGACACATGCTTGTTAATCCCAGCTACTTGAGAGGCTGAGGCAGGAGAATGGCTTGAACCCGGGAAGTGAAGGTTGCAGTGAGCCAAGATCACACCATTGCCCTCCGGCCTGGGCAATAAGAGTGAAACTCTGTCTCACTGCAGGCTGGAGTGCAGTAGCACAACCATGGCTCACTGTAACCTTAAGCTCCTGTGCTCAAGCAATCCTCTCGCCTCAGCCTCCCAACTAGCTAGGACTAAAGGCCTACACCACCATACCCAGCTAATTATTAAAATTTTTTGTA